CTTCCTTCCTTCCTTCCTTCCTTCCTTCCTTCCTTCCTTCCTTCCTTCCTTCCTTCCTTCCTTCCTTTTCCTTCCCTCTTCATTCTCCTTTCTTCTTCCTTCCCACCTTTCCTTTTTTTTTTTTTTTTGCCTTTTCCTCTTTCTCCTTTCCTGTCCCTTCTTGGATGCTCATATGCAAAAGGGGAAACATTTCTCCTTTTGTTTTGCTTTTAGTTTCTTTTGCTAGCCCTCTGCCAGCGAAGACGGAGCACGAGAAGGGAGGGGCTGCGTGCAGGAGGCCAGTGGTGTATTAACCATTAAGTAGAGTAAGCACATGCTTAGGGCACCAGGCCCAAAGGGGGCACCACAAAGTTGAGACTATGGCTTCGTTTGTACGGTATGTACTAAGGAGGGGGGGGGTACCAAGATTTTTCAGTGCTTAGGGCACCAGTGAGCCTTAATCTACCACTGCAGGAGACCATCGCAGCCAAAAATGGAGCCTGGGAGAGCCACACACGGGCAGAGGCACCATGGGCCAGTCCTTCGCTGCTTCCAGGGTGGCCCCATGGGCCAGATCTAAGTACTCCATGGGCCACAATTTGACACCCCTGTGCTAGAACCAAGCACACTTTTACCCAAACTCATTTGAAAGTGAAAAAAAGAGAGAGGAAAATGTCAGAGTATATCCATGAAGTGGAATAGAGCGTGGTAACAAGGTCAGCCAATGAATAGGCATAGCAACTAAGTCAGCCAGTGAGGACTGTTTGGAAACTGAAACCAGAAGTAGCCTAGGCATGGATCTATAGTAAGCTCTGCAGCTCCGAAACTATGTTAAGCTCTGAGTCTGTCTATTGAAAATGAAACTGTTTCTCTCCTCTGCTGTGTGACTTGCTTGCCTGCTGAACTAAAGTGAAACTGAGGTCTGTTTCTGAGCTCCTGATGTGAGAAGCGTTAATAAAGTATCCTTTTTATGACTCAAATCTCATGTTGAAAGATAGATTATGTCCTTGAAGTAAGGGAGTGCAGTACCAGACACCAGTTACTTTTTTGGAATGCCTTTGAACCGCTGGGAATTATCACACTCTTTTGGAATGTCTTTGAAATGCCAGATACCGGATAAGAAAGTGTCTGTTATGTGCTGGGTACCAAAAAGATAATAAAATGTAACTTGTATCCTGAAAGATGTATTGTAAATCAAGCCATTTGTATACCGGGGGGGCGGGGGGGGGCGGGTAGTTTTAGAGTATAAGAGTAGAGCGAAAGCTATGTTTTTTGTTCCTTCCAGCTGCCTAGGGTTGAACCCATCTGCAGATGTATATCCAATAAAGCCTTTTTCCTTGGATCAACTTTGAATCCTGGTGGTTTTTCTTTAGCCACAATCTCACACTGAGTTGCTGCTCTGCTCTGCACTTGTAACATGTCTGCTTCTGTTTGAGTTTGCTCCATGTTGGAGAAATCTACAACTGGTATTGTAAAATTTACTTAATATGTTTATGAAGAAGTTAAATGAAGCATCGGCCATCTGTGTTTATTTTTCTGGTGCTGAATTTACGCTGCAAAACTCTGAACAGAAAACAGAAGATGCTCATGGTACAGTGTGCTTACTGTCAGTGTTGGTGGTGAAGAAGGAGAAGGAAGGGGCAGGACAAACCCTTTCTGAATTTTCGTTCAAAAAGGCACATACTCTATTCACCATGACTCTTGTGGTTCTCCAGGCTGTGGAGATCTGCACCTGCCCTGTTGCATTTATCTAGTATGACATTAATGGCTGAAAGCTTCTAAAAAGTTAGTAAGATTCATCTCCCCTGAAGCCTGAGTTAAACTGACTCCAAATCGCTCCACCATGGGAAAAGAGGAGAAGGCAGAAACAGCATGCCTTGTTTTCTACCTTAATCTTCCTTCACAAGCCAGGGAATATTATGCCACATGTAGAAGCTGCAGCAAAGAGCTGTCAGCTAGCAAGAAAAGGCATCTCCCCAATTGGAAATTTCAGGGAGACATTTGAGATGGGTCTCAAGAGCTGGGCTAATATAGAGTAGGACATCTGATCCTGAAGTCCTGTAAGCTGTCTGATTACTTCTGCAATAACTCGTTGGCTTCACTACAGCATCCTCCTAGCTGGAAACAGACTCTCTTATAGCCTCCAAGCAGTATCACTCCATATAAATGGAATTGCATTAGAAAACAACAGACAGAGAACCGCACCTGTGCATATTAATGAAAAGTTAACGTGCTGTAACAGTTTGGAATACAAAATCAATGCCCTTGCCTGTTGCAAGCCTGCCCAATCATACAAAATGAAAGCTTGTCAAAAAATTACCTGGGAAATCAGCTCTAAAAATAAACTCATGGTATCCCTGTGACCAAATTAATTGCATCGCACCCCACGGGAAGCATTTGGCTTTTTTTACTTTTTATATAGCAGATAAATCTGCACTTACCCTTATTTGATAATACGATAGATGCCAAACAATACTTAATATTGAATTTGCTCTCTAATGAACTACATCATCATCCAAGAATTAACCCCAATTCACCATTCTTGCAAATGAGAAAGTGAGTCCTGTTCATCCCAATCTTCTCTTGTAAATAAAATAAAGATACAAGTAAAGGTTTCCCCTGTTGAGTTGTGTCTGCCTCTAGATCAAGGGCTTCAAACTTGGCAAGTTTAAGACTTGTGGACTTCAAATCCCAGAATTCCTGAGCTAATATGACTGGAGGAGGAATTCTGGGAGTTGAAGTCCACAAGTCTTAAACTTGCCACTTTGGAGACCTCTGGTTTATTCTTCTGAGCTTCCAGCTCTTCTTCCACTTCCCATCCCCAGGGAACTTCTCTCTTACATTCTGGTGAGACACATTCTGGGGAGAGAGAAGTTCTTAAGAAAGGGTCTTTAAATTTGACAAATCTAAGACTTGTGGACTTCAACTCCCAAAATTCCTGAGCTAACATGACTGGAGGAGGAATTCTGGGAGTTGAAGTCCACAAGTCTTGAAGCTGTCAAGTTTGAAGACCCCTGCTCTAGAGGAAGGTGGTCATCTCCATTTCTTAGCTGAGGGAGGCAACATTCTCCAAAGACACTTCTGTGGTCCTGTGGCTAACATGACTACACAATGAGGTGCGTGGAACACTGTTACCTTCCCACCAAAGTAGTACCTACTAGGACACAGCATATAAGTGATGCTTGAGCAGAGTCCGCAGGATTGTCTGGAACACTGTCCATCCTCTTCACGACCTGTTTTCCTTGTTACCTTCTAGGAGGGGGCTTCATGGTATCTGAAGCAGGACATCCCGATTCAGTCACAGTTTTGTTCCTAGAGAACTCACAAGTTTCCTCTTTCCGCTACATATTTGAAATGGACAGTGATTAATGTTTATATGTATGGGTGTGGATATAGAGATAGAGATATGTGATTGTGTGTGTGTGTATGTTTGTGTAGCATGTGTATATGTACGCCATGTATGTGTATGGGTAGACTTGCAGTGTTGGCGCATTGTGCAACAAGCTCACAGAGTTTAATAAGATTGGAACTGGTTTAGGGACTTCTGTCCTCACTATGAGTTGTGTTGCGGGGGGGGTGGTGCATGAAGGGAGGCTCAGCCAATCTCATTGTACACATGTTGTTGTCTGGCAATAAAGGTAATAATAATAATATACTTTCTTTTGAGAGCAGGCAACAGAATTTAATTTTTTATGTGGGCGAGTGTGCTTGTCAACCCATAAAACATTTTGTATACATGTTTTATAGTTGTCAACAGAAAGAAGTGGGGAGTTTCAAAGAGCAGGTGGTAGTGTGGAATCAAAAGTACATTCCATTCATATTTTCTTCAGAGACTGATTAGATGACTGAAGCTTCTGCTGCGCAAAAAACTAATTGAACAGCATGATTGATGACTCTTGGCTATGGACATGTTTCGTTGGATGATACACTCGGGGCGGGGGGGGGGGGAAACAGGATCAAGGATGACAGTGAATTACATATCTCAGAGTTGGCTATGCCCAAGCTAATGCCGGAATGTTAACTTCTAATAAATACTTTTTTTAGTTTTGGGAGTGTGGCTCGAGGCTCATTATTTAATTGGAGTAACTGCCGGAATCCTGACAGTCCTCACAGTAAAAAAAAGATAATAAAAGTTATGTTATCCTATCCTATTTTATCCTATCCTATTTTATCCTATCCTATTTTATCCTATCCTACCTAACCTTGTCTTACCCTATCCTACCCTATCCTATCCATCTACTCACATATTTGCATGCTTTCAAACTTCTAAGTTGGCAGGAGCTGGAACAAGGACAGGAGCTCACCCTATCTTGCGGTGCTTGGGGCTCGAACCTAAGGTGTCAGCTTTCCAGCTGACAAGCTCAGTTAACTGCTGAGCCATCCTGCCCCCTTGCAAAGACAATTATTTTTTTAAAATGAAATAATAACAACAACTTATAGGTAGTCCTCAACTTCCAACCAGACAGTTACGGACTATAAAAAGTTATGATGGACCTCCCTGGAGATATTTATAGTCTGAAGTTTTGATAGCTGCTATCCCAACCCAGAGAAGAAAGCTGCCTGCTAATGGGAAGATTTGCAGCACAGAGCTTTTTGAAAGGTATTGAGGGTGTGCTGCAGTGGTGGGATTCAGCCGGTTCACACCAGTTTACTAGAACTGGTAGCTAACTTTTTGTTCAGTTTGGTGAAATGGATGAAGCCTCGCCCCTCCCCTTCCCCAGCCACGCCTCCCCTTGCCCTGTCTCTCTTTGCCCGGGGGGGGGGGGGGGGGGCGGCTTGCCTGAGCTTACTGGAGCTGCTTTGCTCCATGACATCACCAAAGGGGAAAGGAAGAGGGAGGCTTGCTCACTCCCTTTCTCTGCGCCTGCACCATTCAGCCTTTCCTTTTCCTTTTAGCATCCAAGCCACACGACTACTGCCATGGACCACCAGCAGCTGTACTGGAGCCACCCCAGGAACTTTGGGCAGGGCTCACACTCCTGGTAGGTCTCTGACCCTCCCCGATTCCCTCTTTGGGGCCTCTGCCAGGCCTAGCGCCAATGCCATCTGGCACACGCTGGCCTCTGCAACTGGGCCTGGCTGTGTCAGGGAACACGGAATCACTGGGCATCCTGGAGGGAAAAGGAGAAGGGGGTGGCCGCTAGCAGAGAAGGGAGAGTGCAAGGTTGGTGCTTCTGGGACAAGGGGAAGCGAGGCTGTGCATGACAAGGAGAAGTGGGGAGGGGCAAGGCAAGGCGGTGCTGGGCCTAGCGAGGTCAGGTGAGGCGAGGCGCCCCTCAATGTGAGTGAGGTCGAGTTGGCCACATCCACCCACGCACAGGACCACCCAGCCATGCCTACCCAGATGGTTAGTAGGGCAGAAAACCAGTTGTTAAATTATTTGGTGTGCCGGATGATGTTCGTGTATGTGTGTATGCAGGTGACTGTTTTGGAGAAG